ATAGACCTATGTAAAACCAACCACCAAAACAACACCAAACTTGCAAAACTTCATTAATAAAACTGTAATCAATGAAGAAATATTCTATATTCCCAACATAAAATTAATTTATAGACTTAAGCCAAATCTAATTAAAGATTTTTTTATATGTGGATATTTTGTGATGTTAAAATAAACTGAAAGAATAAGCATTCAAAAATTTTAAGGAAATATTTGAAAGAAAAAGGCTATCAGGTATTAAAACATATTATAGAACTAGAACAACTAAAACAGTATTGTATTGATGCAAAAATAGAATCTTTTAGGAAACTTCAAAATAAACCTCAGAACATATAAAAATTCAGACCTGGTGAGGTGGTTCATACCTGTAATCCTAGCACTGTGGGAGGCCAAGGCGGGAGGATCACTGGAGGCCAGAGTTCAGGCACAGCCTGGTCAACATAGTAAGACCCCATCTCTACAAAAAATAAATAAATAAATAAATAAAAATTCAGTTTATGAATGATAAATTATGTATCATAAACTAATGTGGGAGGAAGGCTGGATTTCTAAACAAAAAAGCAATAGAAAAAAGTCAAAACATTATTATATTTGATTTCATTTTTGACCACATAGAAATTTAAGCATTTATAGAGCCAAAAATTTATAAACAAAGATTAAGTGTAAATTTAAAACTGTGAAAAATATTTGTAGTGCTTCTGACATACATGAGATTAATGCCATTAAGGCCAGGCACAGTGGCTCAAGCCTGTAATCCTAGCACTCTGGGAGGCTGAGGCGGGCGCATTGCTCAAGGTCAGGAGTTCGAAACCAGCCTGAGCAAGAGCAAGACCCTGTCTCTACTATAAATAGAAAGAAATTAATTGGCCAACTAATATATATACAAAAAATTAGCTGGGCATGGTGGTGCATGCCTGTAGTCCCAGCTACTCGGGAGGCTGAGGCAGTAGGATTGCTTGAGCCCAGGAGATTGAGGTTGCTGTGAGCTAGGCTGACACCATAGCACACACTCTAGCCTGGGCAACAAACTGAGACTCTGTCTCAAAAAAAAAAAAAAAAAAAAGCAATTAATGCAAGATATGTGAGATATAAAGGACTCCACCAAATCTCTAACAAGGAAACACCAACTCAAATTAAGAACAGTCAATGGACATGAATAGACTATACACACACACACACACACACACACACACACACACACATATACACAAATTGGGCAATAAACATTTTAAAAGTTTATCATCACTAGTAATCAAAGAATGCAATTTAATGCAACAATCAGGCACAGTTTTTCATATTTCAAATTGGAAGATAATTTTATTAGTAATAGACTAGCATTTATTGAGTATCTGTAATATATCATTTAAACTTTGTAATAATCCTATAAAGTAGGCAGTATTGCTCTACCCATTTAATAGAAGAGAAACCAAGGTATAAAGCAGCTAAGCAACTTTTCCCAATTCAGACAGGTAGGAAGTGACCGAGTCAGGATTCAGTCCTAGACTGATTCGGGAGCCACATCTCATTGCTAAACTGTTAGGCAAGAGCCTGGCCAGGAGGCTATCGTGAAACTGTTCGATCCTGCTATACAGTTCTATACTCTATAATTCGACCTATACTGCAGGTCGAATTAACCATAATCCGTCTTTGAAGAGCAATTTCACTCTAAGTATTGAGGTTCTTTAAAGGACTTACAGTCCTTGATCAAAAAACTCTACTTTTAAGATTCAATCTTAAAGATATTACAGATAGAAATAGAGAATCCTGTTAAAAATATAGAATTATTTATAAACTAAAAAATTAGATACAAACCTAAATGCCTAGTAACAGGAAAGCATTTAAATACATTGCAGTACATTCATAAAATAAGTATATTGGTTTTTAAAAATAATCAATGGCATAGGAAGATGTATTAATATAGAATGCTAAATGGAAAAAGCAAGATGTGAAATGCTATGCATACGGTGTTGTGTAAATATTCTAAATATAGAGCTAAAAGTCTTGAAACACATCAAGGTATTCACAGTGATTATCTCTGAGGGGTGGAATTAGAGGTAAACTTAATTTCCTCTGCATAGTTTTCTGCATCTTTTAAATTTTCCACAAAGAAATCTATAAAATTTATTTTTATAATCAAGAAAAAGCCAATGAACATGAGATTATTTTAAGAGAATTATTTGGAACATTATTTTGAGTGACTTTTACTCCTTTGAGGAAATAAATGAGATACCAATTACAGATACCCCCGAATCTTATCCACTCAAACCTAAGAGCAGCAGTAGTGGCTCTTGATCATTCCTGGCAAAGGCAGAGATGCTGTGATGGGAAAGGGGCTGCAATCCTGTCCTACAAACAGAGAGATCTGGAAACCACCTGGATTACCCAAGCTATTTGCAAAGAACATGTACAAACTCGGAGCCCTACTGGGAAAAGATGAAATATATCTGTTTCCCTTCTTAAAATAATATCATTTGATAAGCACAGCCAAGGTCTGAATAAGATAAGTTCATACTCTTGAGTCCTTTTAATTTTTATTTTTTGATACATAATATTTGGACATATTTATGGGGTACATGTAATATTTTGTTATAATAAATGCATAGAATACATAATGATCAATTCAGGGTATTTAAGGTATCCATCATCTTAAGTATTTGTCATTTCTATGTGTTAGGAACATTTCAGGTTCTCTCTTCTGGATATGTTGAAATATACAGTACTTTGTTAACTGTTAACTGTCATCACCCTGCTCTGCTATCGAACATTAGAGCTTATTCCTTCTATCAAAATGTACATTTGTACCCAATAACCAACCTGTCTTCATCCCCACCCACACACCCTTCTCAGCCTCTGGTATCTATTATTCTACTCTCCACCTCTTTGAGATAAACTTTTTCAGCTCCCACATTTCAGTGAGAACATGAGATTATTTGTCTTTCTGTGCCAGGCTTATTTCACTTAACATAATGACCTCCAGTTCCATCCATGTTGCTGCAAGTGACAGGATCTCATTCCTGAATAGTATTCCCTTGTGTATATATACCACATTTTCTTTATCCATTCATCCGTTGATGGACACTTAGGTTGATACTGTATCTTTGCTACTGTGAATAGTGCTGCAGTAAACATGGGGGTGCAGGTATCTTCTTGATATACTGATTTCTTTTCTGTTGGACAAATATCCAATAGCAGGATTACTGGATCATATGGCAGTTATATTTTTTGTTTTTTGACAAATATCCATACTGTTTTTGATAGTGGCTAATTTGTATTCACATCTACAGTGTATAAGAGTTCTCTTTTCTCTACATCCTTGCCAGCATCTGTTATTTTTTGTCATTTTAGTAATAGCTAGCCATTCTAACAGGGGTAAGATGATATCTCACTGTGGTTTCGATTTGCATTTCCTTGAGGATTAGTGGTGCTGAGCATTTTTTCATGTACTTGTTGATGACATTTCTATGACGTCTTTTGAGAAACGTCTATTCATGTCCTTTGCTCACTTTTTAATGGGATTGTTTAGTTTTATACTATTGAGTTTTTTGAGTCCCTTGTGTCTTCTGGATATTATTTTTACTACATACTACAGAGGAATTAAAGCCAGAAGACATAAACTCAACTCCTAGGTTTTGACTTTGTGCCAATCATTTCATCCCTCTGAATCTTAATATTGTCACTTCTTAAGGAGGAATAATAAGACTGCATGGCCAATTAACTCAAATGCATTCAAATGTGTAGGAGTCATTTGAAAATGAAAACACCCTAGATAAATGAAAATTATTACTATAATTAGACGTTTCTCCTTGCCTGGAAGGACTATCAATGTCATTGGTCGAATAGGTTGTTTATCATCAAAGAAAGACAGAGGCAATATAGAACTATAGATGTGCTGGATGCTAATCCTATTTCTTTAGAGTACAATCTTCTGAAGTCCTGCCTACCCACCTCCCTACCCTTTAGGCCAGGGGTCCTCAAACTTTTTAAAGAGGGGGCCAGTTCACTGTCCCTCAGACCATTGGAGAGCCAGACTATAGTTTAAAGAAAACCATGAACAAAGTCCTATGCACACTGCACATATCTTATTTGGAAGTAAAAAAAACAAATGGGCAAAAACACCCACATGTGGCCTGCGGGGCGTAGTTTGAGGATGCCTGCTTTAGGCCCTCAGGAAAGTGAAGGGATATGAAATCCATTATTAAGCTACAGCTTGGCCACCTCTTCCCAGTTTCAAATCTGCTTACTTCATGTGACCTAATAGACTTTTAATGTAAACACACATTGTATTTCAACCTCAGAGGGCTATATTTGCTCTGTTAGTCATGTTTGTCTGATTGGGGTGAATAACAATCGGTGAATATCCAAACCCTCGCCCCCTAAAATGTTATTATGTGCTCTTTCTTTAGTTAATAAATGTTAAGAGAAACACAAATAATTTCTTTAGTTAATAAATGTTAAGAGAAACACAAATAATTGGTTATATATGATTTTTAACCAAACGCTTTTGCTTCATCAGCTCCAGGTTAGGCAAACATGAGAAGCTCTGGCCTGCAGTAAGGCAAGAATTCTTAATGCATTCTCCAAAGTTCTTATCCTAGCAAATTCAGTAGGCCTCAGAAAGTTAATCCACAAATTGGGAAACTTTTATAACCTAATGCATACAGGGTATATGCCTAAGATTTTAGAGAGCTGTAGTCTCAGCAAAGTTCTGTACAACCTTTGGAAAGTCCCTGGACCTTAGTTTCTGCAACTGTGTGAGGGCTAGATGACCCCTAAGATAATTTCTAGCTGCGTAGTTCATGACCATAACTGTCAAGGTCCACCACTTAGTTCTTGGCCTAAATTCCCACATTGAGTCTCTCTGCCTAAACCAAGTACAAATAAAATTCAAAGTTTCCCCACTTCTCCCTGCATACCTTTGTGGGGCTCAAGGGGTCCCTTCCCTGAGACCTGCTTTTTAGAGGGAACTCCAGCTTTTTACTGGTCACCTTTCCTCCACACAGATCAAGGAGTCTGCAGGGCCACGTCTGCTCCCGGCCCACCAGGAGCCAGCCCCACATTGCCTGTATCAGTCAGCTGAGACTGCCATAAACACCCCAACAGACTGGGCAGCTTAAACAACAGAAATGTATTTCTCACAGTTCTGGAGGCTGGAAGTCCAAGAGCATGGTGTCACCATGGTCAGTTTCTGGTGAGAGCCCTCTTCCTGGCTTGCAGATGGTCCCCTTCTATGTCCTTATATGGCCTTTCCTTGCTGCCTGTGGGGAGAGATAGGAGGAGGAAAGATAGGAGAGAGAGAGGGAGAGGGTAGGGGAGCTCTCTGGTATCTCTTCTTATAAGGACACTAAGCCTCTTGGGTCACAGCAACCTCAATCTCCGGGGCTCAGCGATCCTACTGCCTCAGCCTCCTGAGTAGCTGGGACTACAGGCATGCGCCACCATGCCCGGCTAATTTTTTGTATATATATTTTTAGTTGGTCAATTAATTTATTTCTATTTTTGGTAGAGATGGGGTCTCGCTCAGGCTGGTTTCGAACTCCTGACCTTGAGCAATCCGCCTGCCTCAGCCTCCCAAAGTGCTAGGATTACAGGCGTGAGCCACCGCGCCCGGCAGGGCTTTACTCTTATAACCTCATTTAACCTTAATTACTTCATTAGCGGCCCCATCTCCAAATATTGCCACACTGGGGATTGGGGCTTCTACATAGGAATTTAGGGGGGAACATAAAAATTTAGTCCATAATACTCTCCCTTCAGAAAAAGTTCTGAACTTGTTCAAATTCTAAGAGTCTGGAAATTTTTGTCCAAAGAGCCTAGTCCATCTTCTAGAGCCCCAGCTCGGTACTTCCCTGGAGATTGCCAGGCGCCACCCTGCACCATGGGTATGCGTGTGGGGCGGGAGCTGGGGTTGGACCCTGGACACTGGGGCTACGTCCAGGAAGAAGGTGGGCACGGGAAGTAGCTGGAGGCCAGGGCCCAGGGCCTGGCTCTCCCTGTACCACCAACCCCTGGCATGGAACTCTAGGAATTCTATATTTGAACCTGAACTTCTAGGTTGCTGTGAAGGTGTATTTGTCAAGATAGGAGGATAGAAAATTAAAAAACATTATTTAACAGTTGTTTAGCTAGATGGATAACTTTTAAGTATTTAAAATATGGGCCGGGCGCTGTGGCTCACGCCTGTAATCCTAGCTCTTGGGAGGCCGAGGCGGGCGGATTGCTCAAGGTCAGGAGTTCAAAACCA